TCCTCAAGCTTTGGAATTACACAATGGACTCCCTGAAAATGTTCGGAACACCACACCTCAACTCTTTTCTGTCCCTTTTTGTTCTCATAAAAATCTTCCAAGTAACCTGGGTACTGACTTTCTTTTTCGACTGTGATTATAGTGAAGGAATTAAGCTGCAGAAAACTAAGAGATTACACGAGGAAGGAAAAGAAATATGAGGTCAAGGAACTGATTTAATGCTACAGAGTGCTTACAGTTATTGTAGTTCCATTTCTACTAAAAGAAGGATAATGTGTAAGTTGCTTGGCGCAGGTCCAAGCAGTACGTACCTGACCACAAAATATTTGATTTTTTTGCTTTAAACTTATTAGGAAGCTGTCCCTGGAACAGATATTCTCCCCTTCAGTAACTGAAGTTAAAAAAGTTGAAACTAATACAAAAAAAAAGTAGATCAACATATTTGAGACCTCATCAGCCAAGTGACCAGCCATTACAGCGCTTCTTCTCCTTTCACTTGTCGGGGTATCTACAAGATAAAGGGAAGTCAAATTTACTATAATGTAAAGTAGATTAAAGTTAAGATAAAAAAATTTTATAACAACTAATTGTAGCATTCTTTCTACAGAGATCCAATTGTATACAACATCAACAACTCAAAAACACTTCGCAACATATAAACCAATTGCAACAATTACACAAGAAATTGTTTGTGAAGTGGTAAAGGGTTTACCCGTGTGATAAATGTCACATCCCAAAAATACCCCTTAGACATGACTGGCATCCACTTACACCGCCTGTCGGGCGAACCAATTATCCATTTACTTACCCAATTATGCAAGCACTTTGAGCAATTTGTGCAAGTCTAGCAAATAAATAATAATCAATGCATGGAGAACAATAATCCAACAAAACTCCATAATCAATCTATTAACTCAATGATTACTCAAAGACTAATTATCTAGCCCAAATCCCACAATAAGACCATAGAGCATCTAATAGGACTATATGAGTTTAGTTGCCAGGCATGCAAACCCCAAGAAAAAGAAATTTTCTATAAAATAGATAGAGCTGAAACAGCAACCTCCACAAATAATGGAAGGGCTCACCTTAACAACAGAATCGACACGAACGGACTCGTTCCTCACTAGTCTCACCCTCCACAAAAATATCTGCATAGACATGTAGGTAAGGACTAAGGAGTGAGCTAAACCTTAACATCTCACACCTTAATCTAAGAATTAAAAGGTAAAATATCTTAGCTTCACTGTTGAAACTTAATAGGAGAAAATTTAGTCCAATATATTAACACTTATATTCCAAAAAAGTACTCCAACTGCGTAAAAACAAATCTAAGTGAAAACCATAAATTGCAGGGAACTAATGTGCATAACCAGTTGCTTCAAATAGCCATCACAGTGACTTAAACATTAAAATTCTCTAAGAATGCTAAACCTCATAATTGCCAAAACAAAAGAGCTTCAAATACTGTCAATAAGTCGTTCCTCATGCTAATGAAGTCACTATTTTTACTTTTACATTTACAATCATTACTATAGTTATATCTCTCTCTTTCATTATTATCCAATCACCACATAATCCTAATGTCTTCTAGTTAGAAGTGGTGAAATTTAAACTGCATCACTGAAAAAAATATGGTTTTCTCATGGTAGATTTTAAAGCTAATATTACAAATCCAATTTCACTAACTACCAATCATTGTCAAATCCTTTGTCCTTTAATCATTAGCTAATCATTATAAGGTACGGATTATGATAACTTTATGCAAATTCATGCCACATATATACTATAAATCTATAATATACAAGGCTCAGACAGATGAGAAGAATCACCTAGTGTTCTTTTGTCTCCACTGACTTTTGAATCTAAGACCTTAGGTTTCTCAACCACTAAACACTAGGCCACAACCTTGGGTGCCACAAAACATTTGTCAATAAGTTGTTCCTTTTCTCCCAAATTTGAAGAATCAATTCAACCACCTGGCCTACATTTCTTTAAAGAAAATCTACTCTAAAATCAGGTAGAAATTAATTGGGATCGTACTTAAAGGTAAATGAACATCAAAGCACAATACATAACATATACACCAAGGTCAATTAAAAGCAAAACATGCAGAGGAAGTTCAAAAATGCATTAACATTAATAAGATTACCAAACATGCATGATATTAAGGATCATATATAAATGCATAAACGAAAAATAAAAAAGAGAAGAAAAAGATAAAAAGAAGATCCAAACTGCATACAATGCATTCAATACAATATATCTTTGCAACATCGAAATGTAAAACCAAATAAAGAGAAAAGGTTTATTGTTTGAGTGAAAATCCAAAATGGTGCAAGAAGCAAGGGGCCAACTAGTATTGATCAACTAGGCCTATTAAAGATTCGACCCTACTTGGAAATGCAACAGATCACAGCCAGACAGAAGCAAGATCACAATCAGACATTTTGTGACCTTATTATTATTACCTTTTTGAGAAGGAAGACTTCATCATTCGTTGAATGCTACATAAAACATCCCCATTGCAACAACAACAACAACATACCCAATGTAATCCCAAACCGCCCTTAACTCTACCTCGTAGAGATAGAGAGACTACTTTCAATAGACCCTCGACTCCCTTTCTCCCACCGCCCAACTTAGAGCCAATTGACCTTCTCTTTCCTCAAGGAAGTATTGCACCTCCAGGATTATTTTCTTGCGTTGAGCCCCTTTCCCGTTCAGGATGGAAGTTGAAAGAGGTGAGACTGCTCCCTTGCACATTTGAGCAAGGATGCCATCAACTTATATGCGAAACCTACACAAAAGATTTATTCGCTATCAAGAAAAAAAAAAGGAGAATAGCATCAACACCTACATTCTTCACCAGTTATCTCGCCTATCAATTATAGCAAGAACTGATTAAACAAAGGGTCTAGAAATGAAAACCCCCCTTCCCTTTTCTGTCAAATAGTTAAAATCGACTGTAATTGGAAAAAGGAAGATATACATTCTAGGCCTTTATGTGGAAAAAAAAGGATGGCATAGATGTAGAAGGAAACTTTTACCTCAATTTATTTATTTTAATCGTTAAATGCAAACTTTTACCTCGGTCTCTCCGCAAACACTATTATAATCGACAATAGAGGAAAGATGGACTTAGAAGGTTAAATAAACCATTGAGACTACTAAGATATTAAGAAATGGTAGTATTTATTTTGTGTCTACCACATGTGCAATCAAACACATGGAAGTGTGCATTTTGATATTACACAATGTCACCCTTCATTGCACTCAATTCTTTTGGTAAAGATTCAGGTAATCTAATACTTCATTGGAAAATATTTTCCATCATACCGCACATAGCCTTATGGTAGAAACAACGGAAGGAAGATAGATATTCATAAAAAAAAAACTAATTGAGAGATTGAAGTTTCCCCCTTTAGCTATTCTTTCAAACATCTTCCCGTCCAAGTCTTTAAGGGCATGTTTGGCCATGAATAATTTTCATAATTGCATACCAGAATCATGTTTGTGCATAGAATTGTTACAACTTACAATACACATGTTTTCACTTTTTCACTCCAAATCACTCGCAAAAATTCAACATTTTTCCAAGTTGTATTCATGTCCAAACACAACTCCAATTACCACTTTTCAACTTTTTTTCAAATACCACTTCTTTTTATTTTTCAAATTCCCATTTTTATGTCCAAAATGTCCACTAAAATAGTATGAGCCCTTATGGTATCTAAGTACTGACGGAAACTCCCTCTAAGGGCGGAACTAGAGTTTCTATCACAAATTCGGCCAACCCACAATAACTTTAGATTGCATAAATCTTTACCAAAGAATTGAGTACAATAAATGGTGCAAGTGTGTTGCCAAAATGCCCACTTCCACGTGTTTGACTACACTCGTGGTAGACACAAAATAAATACAACCATTACTTACTATCTCAGTAGTCCCAATGGTGTATCTAACCTTCAGAGGCGCCATCTTTCCTCTATTTTTCAAATATTCATTGACTATGTGCAAATTATTATTTAGAACCCAATAACCTATGTTGCTCGAACTCTCAAAAATGTCGACCGGTGTAAGATTCTCCAGAAGTAGTGCGTTTTAGGAGAATCCGACATGGGTGCGGCATCGAAAGTGAAGAGTTTGTGCAACTTAGCCAATAACTAAAAAGACTAGAATCCGAGACCCATAAACTTCAAAATCTGGCTCTGCCTTGGAGTCTCCCTCTCCAGTCTCCCCCAACATTAAAAGCTCATTGACTAGAAACAAGTCAATACATATGAATTAGAAGATAAAACTATATTTTGTGGACTTATATCCATCTTATGTTTCTTCTGGAAGAAGACCAAGGAAATGATCTAGTTAAATCACAGCTATATAAATCCTATTGTATCAATTCACCTCTATACAGACCTGAATGCAATATTCAAAGGAATCATTTAGCTGATTATTTTAAACTGCTCTCCACCTAGTACAACCCTCTTTGGCTTATCTTTTATCAAGGTTTGGGACTGGATATGTGTTGCAAAACTCACATACCTAGAGTTCCTAAGCAGTTTTTAACAATTTAAATAAATTCATAACATTGCAATTAAAAATACTATTTTTTCCTATAGGAGTGTCCTTTTAACTATAGTATCCCGATACCTAGACATAATGAGCTTCTTAATCGTGATAACTAACCAAATTGTGAAGCATGAAGTAAGATTGTTATGGATCTTCTTAAAATAGCTCATATAAAACTTCTTTAAATTATTAAATATAGAAAATATGTCAGCTCACTAGAAAAAGAATCTCTCTCATGATGTTAATGACATCAAAAGAAAAGAGTTTCCTAGTGAGGTATCAATTTCACAGTGATTAAATTATGATTCATAACTTAACATGTAAAGAAGTGCAAATTTTAATGTTTGCTACTGTTGTATGAATAATTTAACAGAACCAATCGAACAAGAAGAATTGCGATCCACCAGCTACGTGGCTCGGACTCGGGTAGAGGTCAGATCCTTCATGGTCGAGCACCGTTGAGAGATACTTACAAGTCAATATTTACCTACAGTGCCAAAAGCATTTCACCATTATCGGAAAAAAACTGACCAACTCTTAGACGCCAGCATTATCACTTGTAGAATTGTCTAAAATCAGTTTGTTACCTGCAAGAAAATCAATACATCATCGCCTTTTTAGTTTAGGAGCATCATTGTCTTGCTTCTCAGCTGATTGTTTAGAAATTGACAGTTTGTTGTCTTCATTGCCACAAGCTTCGGAACCATCTTATTTTCACAGTTCCCGTGTTGTTTGATCCTGCATTTGGATAAATCAGTTAAACTCGAGCTTACGAACGACTTTATATCTTTCTTTCCCTTAACTTCAACCCATTTGTCATTTATCCAATCACTTGAAGTCCTCAGGTTCTTCCTTTGAATCTCCAATAGCATGTTCTCGCCTATGATTGAGAGAAAAAAAGAACATTGGGGCATCAGGCCATGACCAACATCGATCATTAAAATTTAAACAACAAATGAGCCTGAAGCTAGGCCTACTGTTTAAAAAATTTTCCACTGCAGAGTTGGAAAGCCAATTTATGGCAATACTGAGCTTAGACATATGATTTCAAGTAAGAATTGAAACTAATTAGAGACTTCAATTTTACATCCATTGGCTGTTGAGTTATCCTTACTCAAAGTTGCTAGGCATCAACCGATAAACAAGAATTCTCTTTTTTTTCCTTGTTTTCTATTTCTATTTTAACTTTTTAGTTTTTTGGGTGCGTTTTTGGCTATTATTTCTTACCAGGGAAATAAACCTGATGATGACCGCTTCCACAGACATTAATTTCAGCAACAACACCTTCCCACCACCCGTCAGACCACCAAGCATCAACTGCAGCTCCTATTTCAAAAGAGTAGTCAGAAGAATCCTCTAGAGGCCGAGGCCTAACTGTGAGGCGTCCTGTGCATCTCATGCCCAATTTTTCAGAGCCTGCAACTCTATAGGAAGGAACCCATTCCTATAAAATCAAGCAAAGGTGATGAGGAAAGAGAGTGAAGGGAGAACGGACAAGTCAATAGATGCAAGTAGATCATAAATTATAGTATATAAATTGAAGTTATAGTCACAGTTTAAGGTACCTCGAGCTTTTCAGGAGCATCACAATCCTCGATGTCATCATATTGAACTTTCATACGTTTTTGTGATACCTCTAAGACTTTACACCTGAACCAACAACCTCTTAAGCCACTATCCTGGCAAAGAACCTCTAAGTTGTCACCAACTTCAATAGACAACTTATATTGAGGCTCAACACGCTGAATTCCAACTGGTACTATGCTTGGAAATTTTATGTTTAACATTAGGCAAGTTGGTGGTTCGACTTTTCTTATCGGGTTACCAGGAATTGGCTTTCTTATACCACTCTTGCCAACACTTCTACTCCCCCTAAGTCTTTGAGTTGGAGGATCTTCTCGGGTAATATGTTTTACTTCGTGCAACATATGACCCTTTGACTTAAGCTAGGCTTGTTGACTGCGCGACACGGTAAATATCGCTTGACTATAGTAGCCCTCCAATTCATTCAGAGAGAATAGCAGGACCTGGTATTTTATTTCCCTATAGCACATATAGACACCAGAGGACAAATTTTTTGGGACAAAAGAGATATATTTGTCATAATCTCCTAGAGTCAAAACTGTAGCAAGAGCATCAATACAATTCGCTTGGATCACCTCAACATGAGACGTGATAAGTACTTCTCTAGGGTGTCCGTCAAGCTCGGGAAGTGCACACTTGATGTCCTGAAAATGTTCGAAACACCGAACCTTCGCTTTTTTTTGTCCCTTTTTATTCTCATAAAAGTCTTCCAAGTAACCTAGGTGCTGACTTTCTTCTTCGACCGAGAATATAGCAAAGGAATTAACCTGTAGAAAACTAAGAGATTACACGAGAAAGGAAAAGAAATATGAGATCAAGAAGCTGATTTAATGCTACCGAGTGCTTACAGTTATTGTAGTTCCATTTCTGCTAAAAGAAGGATAATGCGTACGTTGCTTGGCGCAGGTCCAAGCAGTACCTGACCACAAAATATTTGATTTTTTTGCTTTCAATTTATTAGGAAGCTGTACCTGGAATAGATACTTCCCATTCAGTAACTGTAGTTAAAAAAGTTGTAACTAGTATAAAAAAAAGTAGATCAACATATTTGAGACCTCATCAGCTAAGTGACCAGCCATTACAACACTTCTTCTTCTTTCACTTGTCGGGGTATCTACAAGTTAAAGGGAAGTCAAATATACTATAACGCAAAGGAGATTAAAGTTAAGACAAAAATAATTTGTAACAACTAGGCGTTGCATTCTTTCTACAGAGATCCAATTGTATACAACATCAACAACTCAAAAACATAAGCAACTTTGCAACATATAAACCAACTGCAACAATTACACAAGAAAGTGTTTGTGAAGTGGTAGAGGGTTTACCCGTGTGATAAATGTCACATCCCAAAATACCCCTTAGACATGACTGACACCACCTTGCGGGCGAACCAATTATCCATTCACTTACCCAATTATATAAGCACTTTGAGAAATTACGTGCAAGTCTAGCACATTAATAATAATCAATAAATGGATAACAATTATCCAATGAAACTCCATAATCCATCTATTAACTCAACGATTACTCAAAGACTAATTATCTAGCCCAAATCCCACAATAAGACCATGGAGCATCTAATATAATTACATGAGTTCAGCTATCAGGTATGCAAACCCCAAGAAAAAGAAGACATTCGCTATAAAATAGATAGAGATGAAACAACTTCCTCGATGATTAATGTGCAGGCTCACCTAAGAAACAGAACTGATGCGAACCCGTCAGCCAACAGTCTCACCCTCCACAAAAATATATGCATGCAATACATAAATATACCTAAATAAGATCCTCGACCCGCTACTTTAATACCCTTTGAACAAATGTTAAAAAATATAACCACACAACAAACACATGAATGATATGGATAGAAATATATTTTATTATTTTTTTTGAGACAAGGGTAACTAGAAATATATTTTATTATATAATGCTCAATAGGTCCAAACAAATGTTCAAAAATGACATTACATATTTCAACTCAATCCACATAAAGGAGATCAATCTAGCCCTAACAATTTCACGGCAGTATATATAATGTTCCAAACGTAAACCAGAGCATCATGTACAAGGTCCCTAACATACTACGGTAGCGTATGTATGCCCCAAGTAACTATATCACGACAGCGAAGGAAAAATATCCAACTCCCCAACGCCATGGTAAGAGATCACGCCACACCACAAATCACTTATTAAATATTTTTTTATATTCTTCTCAAAATAACATATATGCGGTTCGTCAAAGACCACCGATTTTGCCAAGCACACACGTGTCCCAACATATTGATCAGGCAGACAAAACACATTTTAAAAGCAAATTTTAGAAAGCAAGCACCAAACCTCAAAGTCTCATTTACCTTGCTAATCATGAGTTTCCCAACCTTGCAATGAATAAACACCAACCAAACAACCTCCAATTACCTCAATCTATGCAAAAATATTACGCTAGCCAAGGTCAAGTCTCAATACTTTTACATTTACGATATCTCTCTCTTTCATTATTATCCAATCACTTCTTAATCCTAATATCTTCTAGTTAGAAGTGGTGAAATTTAAACTGCATCACTGAAAAAATACATGGTTTTCCCACAGTAGATTTTAAACCCAATATTACAAATACAATTTCACTAACCACCAATCATTGTCAAATCATTTGTCCTTCAATCATTAACCAATCATCATAAAGGTAAGGGCTATGATAACTTTCTGCAAATTCATGCAACACATATACTGTATGTCTACAACATATAAACCACCATAAGTCAAATTTTATGCCAATACCTGAAGCTTATCACCCGAAACAGTAGTCTATGAAATTCTTCTTTGCCGTCCTTGAACTCCACAAAACATTTCTCAATGAGTTCATTTCTTTTCTCCCAAAATTTAAGGAATCAATTGCCCTAATAGGATAATGGGCTTGGCCCACTCCTTTTAACTCTCTTAATTATTATTATTTTTTTATTTTTTTTATGACAAGGGAAACCCGCAGCCGCTACCTTTTGGGTGCGCACAGGGTAAAACCCCCCGCTCCTATGCAATAAGATTATTATTATTATTATTATTATTATCATTATTATTTATGTTGGGTTAAAATTACCAATTAATCCCTCATTAAAATTTGGGTTATTATAAAAAGAGACACCGTATTTTGCAAACTTAGTTACTTAGACTTCTTGATTTCAATGAGCACATACACTATAAATTCTTCATGTGCATATAACCATCAAGAAGAACAAAGAATTCATTGTTGAAATATGGAAACAATATTATGACAACATTTACCAAGCAAATCAAACCAAAGTCTATATAAATGATCACGAGCTATATTAGGGGACATAAAATTCAACAAAATTCAGCCGCCACTATATTTGACATCGTGAATAACAATGATGTTATAGTCACCACTAGTTGAGTCATAAGCCAATCCCAAAATTCCTCCGGGCAAAATTGTGGATGAGGAAGTACTATTGATTCTCTTGTGGAAGGATTCCAACAAAAGGTTGGGTGTCTCAAAATCCACAATATTATCAAAAAGTATGATAATAGCCAAGTTATTGCAAAAACAATTGACTGGGTAATAACCCGGTTTAGAGTTTGAAGGGAAATTAAGTTTATGTACAACTTCAACCAGTTGAACTGGCGATAAAGGTCAAGAATAGATTGAAAATATACTATCATTGTGGCACTTCCTGCAAATAAGATTTTTTTGGAAATCTTGGTCATTAGTGGCATATTTGAGATGCATATTATAAATAATAATCTTCAATTGGACCTAGTAGGATATTAAGGTTTAGAATAAAAAAAACATTGTTTTCGCTTTACAACAGGGAATGTGTTTGTTAAATTAGCTATAGGCTTAACTCACACCCCAAAAGCTAGCTCACGCCACCTCACGCCCTGTACTTAGCATCCCGTGTGTGGGCAATTTTGATTTTTGGGGGCCCCAACATTGGGTGAGATGGCTTCTCTGATACCATGTTAAATTAGGCCTTAAACCTAACTCACACCCCAAAAGCTAGCTCATAAGAATTCACACATCGAAAAAGGGATGAGAATTTGGTCTCTTTATGTGGACTTGGACAATCCTCCCCTCATACAACACCTCTCAAGTCACTATCAGACTAAAGATTTGGGCAAGCTGAAATACTTTCAAGGTATTGAAGTGGCACAATCTGGCCATGGTACTGCTAAAACTCAAAGGAAAAATTCCTTAGACATTTTGGAAGACGGTGGTATGTTGGATTGCAAACATGTGGCTAGTACAATGGATCCAAATACTAAACTTATTCCAGGACAGGGGAGCCTCTAAAGATCTTAGCAAATATCAGAGACTTGTTGGCAAACTCAACTATCTTACGATCACGCGAGCAGACATCTCATTTGTTGTTAGTGTAGTTAGCCAGTTTTTACAATCACGTTGTGATAGTCACTAAAATGTAGTGATTTACATCCTGCGATATATCAAAAACTCTCCAAGGCAAGGTTTATTATATGAAGATAAGGAACACACCAACATTGTTGGATATTCTGATGCAAATTGGGCAGGATCTCCTTTCGACATGAGGTCCACTTCAGGTTATTGTGTTCTAATTGGAGGCAATATAATATCTTGAAAAAGTAAAAAGTAAGTTTTCTTAGCTAGATCAAGCGCATAGGCAGAATATTGAGTTATGGCACTAGCTACATGTGAGCTTATGTGGTTGAGACAACTTTTCCAAGAATTGAAGATGGAGGAGTTAAACCGATGACATTGATTTGTGATAACCAAGTTGCATTACATATCGCTTCTAATGCAGTGTTCCATGAAAGAATGAAGCACATTGAGATAGATTGTCACTTCATTCGATATCACCACAAGTTTTGTCAACTCAAAAGATCAGCTAGCGGATATTTTTATAATCACTCCGAGGATCCAGAATTGTCTATATTTGTGGCAAACTAGGAGCGTATGACTTATATGCTCCACCTTGAGGGAGAGTGTTAATTATGGTATATTTGGATAGTGTATATAAAGAATATTTAAATATAGTATGATTAAATAGTCTAGCTATGAGAATATTTCCTAATCCCTTTAATTAGGCAGTTAGGAGATTGTGTAATATTTTATTAGTTTCTTTCTTTATTTACATTATCTGTAATAACTATTTAGTCCCATCAACTTAAGGGAATGATCAATCAATTAAGGTGGTGTGCTTTTCTTGGCTCGTAGGAAGAAATGCTTGCCTCACACAAGATAAACTTCAAAGAAGGAGATTTCAACTGTGTTCTAGATGCTTTTTGTGAGGAGCTGCTAGAGAAATTAACAGCCACTTACTCATTCATTGTCGTGTGACTGGGAAATTGGCAACTATTCTTGAACATGGTGGGTAATTTTTTGTTTTATTTTTGGTGTAAAGAAAGCTATGTTGAGGAGGTTGAAACATTGGCTGATATCATAGTATCCTTGTGAAGCAGTAGCCTAAGCTTGGTTTGGATTTTGTAAAGTCTTTTTGCACTGTTATGGTGCAACTTTAATATATACTGGTAGTTAATGCTAAGACGTCACGAGATTGTTCATAATACTGTTCTATGTTAACTTACGAGTTTCAATAATTAACGGAACAACTAAAGACCAAATCACATAGTAATTTAGACTTTAGGATTGAACGACTCATAATGTTTGAATCAGCCAAAGAAAAAAGGCCTCATTCTCAAAATATTGTACTAAACCACAAACTTGTGCAATGCACGTTTTTCAAGAACAACAACACACAGGCAACTGAGGTTAAAATAAGGAGCACAAATTATACTTTCCTTGTAAAAACAAAACATAATGAAGTAACTACTTAGAAGGATAAGTTCTCATTTATTCTTCAAACAAGGATTATTCATCTCAGGGATACAAAGAACTACCATTAGTACACACTACTGAGCAATTCACGTATCACTTGATACATATGACTTTTATTTTTCTGTCGGACCACAGTCTTGACCTCCGATCGAGCTACAAACACGAGTAGATAGGCGGTTAGGGGGGGAGAGGTTCAGCTGGACCTGATTTTTCAATCAATCTCCGGACGTTTAGTGCCGCTATTGGTGCGAGTTGTAAGAAATCTTTGTCTCGAGTCAGTCTAGGCTAAATCCAGATGCACAACTAAATTGAAAATTTAGCTTGTGCCTGGAAAACTGAAGTCGGGAACAAAAATCTCGAAATAAAAATGGAACTGGAAATAACTTTTCACCATCTCCCACTGCTCCCTCCCCAAAACCCACGGGAGGGAGGCTTCTTTAGGGAAACAATAATCGCAACAAAATTTAGTTTCTTCCCTGTGAAAGCAAAAGATCTTTCATCTACAAACTCATCAAAATGGGATTTTTTTTTTCATCTACATATTGATTAGCAAAGCACTGTAAACCAATGAATAGTACACAAAAAGTGAGACTGATATTGACCTATCACATTGATAAAGTTTGGATATTCGCAGAACTTGAACATTGTTGCTTTTAGACATATAAGACATCTGCCGTCTCTAAATTGATTGTGTGTAACCAGCAGCCAAGAATCTATAATCAACTTCTTCAGAAATAATAAATACTAGAAATGTACGCAAACAAATACTTCAAATCTCATGTAACTGAAACCTTAGACTGCTACATGATTATACATACTTGAAATAGGTAGTGATTTGTGATGCTTTGAAATCAAAAACATCAGCCGTTCCACTATATCTCGCTTTGCACGCCACTTTGTTTCAGAATTTATGCTACTTGTATGCCCAAAAACATCCAAATAATCCTCTGAGATAACAAATACCATGTGCCTTGCACTTCTTTCAGTACCCACCACAACAAGGATCATCTCCCTTGATGAATCCTTCAAGTAGTAGTGCACAACACGATGGTCCTTCCCTTGAGAAACAACGCGCTTTTCCCACGAAATAAATACATGACTATTTGTATCCATCATGATGCCATAGAGAAACAGTTTGGATTAATCAAAAAACAGCCCAGCTCTTAAACACCCTCATCCACAAACACAAAAAATCATTTTTAGGTAACAATCATTTTGGAAAAACAATCCAAAGCAGTCCTGAACAAGAAGTAACAGAAGTACAAAAAACAACACATAATAACAACATCATCAGTAACAACAACAACGACAGCTAGTCACAAAACATGACTACAGAAACAACATGATAATCAAGGTACAAGGAACAACAGATCGTAACAGAAATCGAAGGACAAGAAACTATAGGGGCAATAGTATGACTACTAATATAAACAGACAGCAAAAGACATAGAGCAAACTAATCCTCCTTAGTTCTTAGACACAAAGAAGAGATTTTTTTCCCAACATTACCTCCTGATGACCATATAAACAATGAAAAAACAGTATCAAACCACAACCCCAAATGGAACACAGTCAGAATTTTGCTTAATCCAAAGATAAACTGCCCTTATTCCAGAAAACTCCCAAATGCAACACAACTATAAAAAAGAGATTTTTTCCAACAATTAGCTCCTGATGACCATATAAACAATGAAAACAACATCAAACCACAACCCCAAATGAAACAGAGAGAGAATTTTGCTTAATCCAAAGATAAACTGACCTAATTACAGAAAACTCTCAAATACAACAGCTACAAAGAAGAGATCTTTTTTCTCAAGATTACTAACCAAAGACCAAATTCACCCAAACATGGTGAAAAACGAAATGGGGTTTGCTGATTTTCAAAGAACAACCATGTACGATAACAAAAACATACAACATTAAACCAGCACATGAAGTGATCATACTTCCAACAAATAGCTTAGGGTTCGAAAAGGAACAAAAAAGGCAAGAACCCAGAATTCTAGAAAACAAACTAAGCACGTAACTAGTAACTCACCTCAAAAATAGTAAAAGATTGTTGCTTTAGGAAGAAACAGAGGTTGAGAGAAAAGCCATAGAATACTGAGTTGGGTTTTTTTGTTGTACAAGGGGCGACGGTTAGGGAAAAAGATAAGAGTAAAGAGTAAAAGAAGAACAAAAGAAGAAAGAGAAGGGGAGAAAAAGCCAAATGCCCATTGTTGCCAACACAAACAAAAGGTTGAGCTTTTGAGATTTTGTGAAATATGGTGGCAGTAACTAGAGTGAAGAAACACAAAATTCAGAAAAATATTTATTTTTTATTTTTTTATGAATTCTAATAAAAATGAACTCTTAAATACTACTACTATTGAAATTCAAATTTACAAATTTATTACTCCCCTAGTTTCATATCATTTGGCCTGTGATAAAAATAAATATTTAATTTATTTGTCCAATTTAAAAATCAAAACAGTTTTATTATATTTTTTACTTTAGATCCTTGGAATTACATAACTTTGTAAAGTAATAATAGTCAAATTAAAAGTTTGAAAGTATCTAGGGCCGTTCGAAATTGAACCGAAACCGATAATCCGAATCAAAAAAAAGTTATTGGTTTATCAATAATGAGTTATTGGTTCAATGGTTTTGATAACGGTTTTGATTTTTTTGTTATCGAATTATCGGTTCTTAACGGTTTGAGGTTTTTTCTTAGTGGGTTAACCGATAACTCGATAGTAAGTTAAATAATTATATTTATACCATTTTGTATATAAAATTCTTGACTTAGAGTTTGGTTTCTTACTTTTATTTTTTGTTGCCTCAAACTCTTGGTTATTCTACAATATTAAAATGTTTGTTTTTGAGCAAGATGTAACTTATGAACTCATGTGCATGGTTCATTTGGTTTGTCACCTTGTTTCTAAGTGATTTTCAATGATTTTCTTTGTGTCAAATCTCAACAGTTAAATCAATAACCGAACTGATAACGATCAATAACCAATAAACCAATAACCGATAAGTCTATATCTTAATGGTTCTATAACGGTTTAGCATCTCTACAACCGATAATCAATAAGCCAAATCGATAAACTTCAAAACTGAACCGAACGATACGCAGCCCTAAAAGTATCATTAATAAAGTTAGTTTAGTAAAATATATTTCTAATAAAAAATTTGTTAAAGAATTGTGGCAATACAATATGAGTCAAATAATACTCCCTATGTCCCTAATTACTTGTCTACTTTTCATTTTATAGTTGTCCCTAATTACTTGCTCATTTTGACAAATCAAGAAAGGACAAATATTTTTTTACCTATTATACCATCAATCAAAAAACTGATTACTTTGAAAAATGTAGAACTTTTCATCCACTTCATAATTAATAAGACTAAAATGGTAAACTCACTATGTCATGAATTGTTTTCTTAATATGTGTGTCAATTTAAAAGTAGACAAGTAACTAGGGACAGAGAGAGTATGAAACTAAGAAAACAATTTAGTTTAAATTGAGTAATATGGTTAATAAGAACATAAATGCTAGACTTTAATTTACTTGGGAGAGAGGCATAATTTATTGAATATCAAATGGTTAAACAAAAAAACCTCGATCAGGCTTGTAGAGAAGTGTGCATCATTTTTGAAGAACTAACCTAAACAGTTGTCCACCCAACTAATTAAACTAAAAACAGCCATCAAATATATAATACATGTATAGTATTTGTACGATAATGTATAATCTATATATACTGGATAGTAAAAATAAACAATAAATTTGTCCGGCTAGTCGTGCAAAGATCTCATTTTTCTCCCTTTTGAGTTTTGACAATATGTGCTTGGATTGACAGTCCTACAAAGATGTATAATTGGGCCTTGAAATCAAATCTGTTTGGTTGAGAAAAAGCCCATTTTTCATAAGATAATAAAGGGAAGAAGATAACGTATAAATTGAAACAAACTAAAATCACAACCTTTCATTGCTCTATCTCTCTCTCAAAAAAAAAAAAATGAAACTTCAACTCCATTTTCAACACTGTAATCTTCCATTACTCATTCAACTCAAGCACAAATCACCCATTAAAAATCCAAGATTCCCATATGGGAAAAGAGAAATTTACCAGGCAGCTTCAGAAAAAAGAAGCATAGTGAAACCATTAGCTCTGGAAATTTTGCCCAAATCCAAGAAATTATCAAGAAGTGAAATTTCTAAGGAAAGATCAAATCTTTTGGTATTGGGAGCTGTTTCTGTTGGTGTAGTGTTGTTTTTAATGGGTTTTGATGATAAAAATCAGGCATTAGCTTTGGGTCCTGAAGGTCCATTAATGGAGGAATTTTGGGAAAATATGAGAAGATATGGTCTTTATGCATTGACAGTTAGTACTGGAGTTCTTTGGGCTGTTTTTCAGCCTATTTATGAACTTTTGAAGAACCCCATTTCTGCAATTTTGATTTTGACTATAATGGGAGGCAGTTTTTATATTGTTTCTCAAGTGGTGTCTGCTATGGTTGGTGTTACTGATTTTAGTTATGATTATAACTATTAGATTTCAGTTTTGTTAATACATAAAGTGGACACAGTTACCTGGTATGGTGGGAGATGGCATCTATCGTATGGAATTAGTTAAGTTGCACGAAGGTTGGTCAAGAGGAATTTTCCATGTATGTTTATGCTTGAATTCAATTAGTAATATAATTTGCCTTCAACTTATTTTGCTCTGTCTGTACTTTCTTGATTTTAGTGTTCTGTTAGTTTAATTTCAGTTTGATATGTTTCCCTATTTACAGTTTACAGCTTCTATAATTATGTTAGTGGTGTCCATAAATGAAAGACACGAGCCGTAAGGATTCATATAGTCAACCACAATTGTTTTAGATTGATGTGCTGTTTACACATAATCAAGATATACATTTGTGATAGTTGTTTCAACAGCTTGAATTCTTATCATATAGGTCAGGCAGAGACAACTTTACAGTCATTACGAATAGGATAGATGACACACTACAAAAGGCATTCTTGCTGAAACAGAACAGTAATAACAAAATAGAAAGAGATATTATTTGCATTGTGCCATTAAGATATTAGCAACACCATAGACAAGTTAAGACTACTAAAACTTCCCAAAAGAAGATAGATTTTTACAAACTATCTGACTTAGCAGACAATAGAAGAAACAGCAAGTTTATATGGAAAAGTATTAGCATATGAGAAAGTAAGAGATTGTCCAGCAGTGAGAGGCTGTCCATCATTGACAAGGCAGTCATTATAGTTTAGTCTTCTGAAAATCTTTGGATTAATAAGCCTTGCTGAACTGAACCAACCACAACTCAAGTGAATGTTAGAAATACTACAACTTCCTGAGAAACACGCGTTTAAGACGATAACAGTATACGTTGGTATACCACTTGGAAGTGATGCTGATGGACCTTGGTTCACTTGAATGAATTTATTTGAACAACTACCTTCCCCTATTCTGTTTTCTGATCCATCACCACCAGTACTATTACCATCGCCACCATTACCATCACCAACATTACCAACGAAGCCACCAGTACCATCATCGCCACCAACATTGCCATCGTTGTCATTACCATCGCCAATATAGCCAATACCATCACCTTCACCAATATCTACATAAACAAAAGAAAATCTATTCATTCAATTTTTGACAAAGAAAGTACACGTGAAGGGTGATTAGTCGAACACCTTTTTGTATATTGAAAAAAGAATTACCAGGTAGTTGTAGTAACTTCCTAGCAGGATTGACAGTGTAGTTTAGGCCAGCACCATTCTTTTCATGAGCTAGTTCCAAAGCATTATTAATGTGTACAACTGCACAATCAAAAGATAAACATCACTTATTTAAAAACTAAAAAGAGACAGTCTGATATACTAAGTTCTCATGACTCACTATGCATACATTACATGAAAGGTATTGTACATAGTACCTATGGTATATTATAAAATTGGAAAGGATTAAACCCAAAAAAAAAGAAGACAGATGATCATACTAGAAAATAGTTGGCTATATATATGCATGCAAGTAGATTAAATTGAATAACCAAAACATGATAATTAACTAGTATAAGTTTGAACTCAATTAATTTCCCCTGA